GGCTTTGAGACTATATGACCCGTATTTTGGCTGGACAACTCGAATGCATGTGATTCTGAGATTTTCACAGGCAACCAGTGATTTTGCTACCATGGCGGGGTTATATTCTCGTCGTCTGATTATAAGACATAGACCTAAGCCTCAATTTCTTTCACTGTTCCAATTTCTTCTAGATTATTTTATAGGTGGGGTTAAGAGGAAGAAAATCCGTTCATGAAAATTAAGTAAAAAATTTCAAAATTAGTTTTAAGGAGACTAGTCAATTTCTTGTGTCCCTCAAGTGAATATTCTAAATTCCAAAGCCAAATAAAATTTACATTCCCCCATCCCATAAAGCTGAATAATATTATCAACCATCAGTGATTGAATAATATTATCAACCATCAGTGATTGAATATTAATTTAAACGTCAGTGTATCATAAGTAATGGAATCCAAAAAAGTCAACCAGCTATCAACAATTCTTGAGGAGAGGCTAAGGATAAGTTCAAGATCAAATAGAGTCAATTAAGCCATGCAATTATGTGTCCAAACTACGGAATCCAAAAAGGTGAAGTTAACAAGCCTAAGATCAAGTTTAATATTAGGCATGAGAGCGGAAACAAGTTGGAACGCATTTGAATCAATAACTCAGACTTGAAGACAAGATGGACTACTATGCGACTGTATAGCATAAACCTAGATGCGGCTATAAAAACCCATATCGTAACCAAGATGAGCAATTTCAAATGATCTATGCAACCTCAAGACGTAATCCTATGCGACCGTTTAGTAGAAAATTGAGATGCAATTTTCCAAATTTGTCCCGAACTTCTATTTTAGTTAAAATTCTTTTTATAATATCTCTTTGATATATTTTATTCTTAATTCCGTTTTTAATTAGGTTTTTATGAGTTCCCTACAAATAAGACTCGTTCTCTTCATTATAAAATACACAATTTTGAGAGATATTATTTCTATTGCATATTGTTTTCAACTCGTTTTTTATTGAATTAATTTTTGAACTTTTCAAGAATTAAATTCTTATGGCGTTCATTAATTCAATTAAGGTTCGTAAGTTTTGAAATCACAAAATCAAAATATTATTTGCGATTGTCTTGGTTCTTTGATTCAATAATTTATTGGGTCAAGCATTTTAAACGTTGATTCTTGACTTTTTTGGATTTGATCTAATCCATCGAAAGCTACAATTGTTACATGAGTTCGTATCAATATGTCTTATTGAGTTATAATTTCTTGTATTTAATTGAATTTTTAATTTAATAACACCAGTATTGTCACTTAGATTAGTGTTAATTAGCAATACTTTATTAAGATAGGCTTATTTCATTTCCACACATATTAAAAATTATATAATAAATGTAGTTGAAATATATATATATAAAATGATTTAAATATGAGTAATTTATATTAGCTGCTAATAAAACACTTTAAATAAGGTTATAAATTCAATAATGAAAGTGATTTAAAATTTGGAACAAACGATAGAAAGTAAATCTATTTTCGAGGAACGAAGGAAATAATTTAAAGATATAAACACTAATTTCGAAGTTAATTGAGTTGCAATGGTGGGCGGTTGTGTAACCCACATCTCGATTTATTATTAATTATATTCAGTGTATTTTTTATTTCATATGCCATATTTTAATTACACTTATGGTTTTCAATTCAATCTTTACTCATTATAACATTTTATGTTTAATGATTTTTCGTGGCTTCTTATATTCAAACTTTCCATTAGATAACATATTTAGTATTTGATAACAATTTGTCCAAAAAGTCCGATGTAAAAGCCTATAATAACTTATTTTCTCCTCATATTTTAAAAAATAAATAAATGAATAAGTATGAAAAATTATTTTCCCTCATTTCAAAGTATTGAAATAAAATATTTTAATATAAATCATCATCAAGAATAAGATGTACTGATTAATGGAAGGTCGAAAATAAGTGTTAGACAAAAAATTTTAAGAAAATAATTTCTATAACGAACAAAGATTAAAAAGTTTAAGTGTAATTAAAATATGATAACCAAACTCTCAATTAATAATTTATTCACTAGCCCCAGTAAAAACTCTTTAACTAATGTTTAAAAAAAAAGGTTGAACCCCAATCTTGAGAACCCCCATCACCCCGTCTCTATAATTTTGTGAGGGAGATAAATTGCGAAATGAGCTCCAGCAGATTAGGGAACAAGAGCTGCTTGTACACTGCACCTACAAGGAGTCTAATTACATGTCTCAAGAATTGAACTCCCACACTGCAGCTGCCAGCAAGACATGAGAGAACTTGACTCCTATCCTTTGCACCACTGAACTATGCCTGTGGGCCTTTAACTAATGTATTTAGTTGGTAGTCAAACATGCCCTGGGGTTGAGTGTTATATTACCAGTATACCCTTTTGCAAGAGGTCCCAAACGTAGTCAAAATAGGTAAAATGGCCCTCAAATAAGGGTTAAATAGGAATGTTGGGCTAGTATAAAAGAAGAGAGAAAGCAAAAACTAGGGTTAGTTGGCAGCTTGGGAGGGATGAATGAGGCACGCAGAGAGAATGGGAATTCTTTAAGGGTGGTTGCCCCTCTCTGTACAGCCGATGATTTTTCTCCATTTTTAAAATATACAAATCGACAGCCCTTCATAGAAAAATAAAAATAAAAATAAAACGAAACAAATCCATTGCTGGTTCTTGATTTCTTTTCAACAGCTCAATGTTGTCAAGATCCAAGAAGATTATAAGCTTAGCCAAACAGGCCTTACGGTACTGTGATTTTGTGAAGGTGGTGGTGGTGGTGATGATGGTGGTGTAGTACTTTTACTATTTCAATCAATCCCCAAGGCTGTGACGATATTTCATGATTCTTCCAAGCACATTGATCGGCTATTGAGATAAATCGACCCGTATCTTGGCGTGGCAATCCGGATGGTATGTGAAATTGGATTTTCTATTCATATGCAACCGGTAATTTTGCAGCCATGGCGGGGGCGAACCTCTCCGTCGATCGAACAACAGATCTGAGCCTTCTTTCATCTTTTAAGATTTATTATTATTATTATTTTTTTGATTGGATAAAGCTTGTTAAGATTTCTCTGGAATCGGTTCGAAAGTTAAATTAGGGACAATCTTTTTAATTTTATACAAAGCAGAATTTCCTGCATAATTCTTGGAGATTTGATGATGGATCCAAAACTTTTTCCATTTAAAAAATCAGTTAAAATGATATTTTAACCTTCGGGTTAATTT